GGAGTAAAATATATCAATATTTGGAGCGGTCTTTATATACACTAGCGCAGCAAATAACCTTTAAACCAATTTGAGGGCATGCACCCGCTCTAAATTGCCATGATATATCTTTCCTCGTTTCACCATTTGCATTTTGAGTAAATTGATAGAAAGGCGACTATATACATAGCTTAGTCTTAAACAACTATAAAAGCTTGAAATTCACACCAATATATTCAATGCGCTTATCGGAATCGATTTCTATAGCTGTCACGTTGTTCTTGGGACAAAGTATCTAATGACTACAAGGAAATCTTAACCAAATAAAGGCAATTTTAATTTTGGAGTAAAATTTTGAATTATTAATTAATCAACGCGGTAATGGAATATAAGTTACAGGAAAAACTTTGAATTTTAAAACGTCTTTAAAACAGTATAATTATTGAAAGTGTTTCTGTTTACGTCGGTCGATAAAAACCATTTATCAAAAACACGTAGAGATTTAGGAGACCAAGATCTCGACATTCTCAAGTGCCGTTTGAAATTTTGTTACCATGCAATCAAAGTAGGCTGACGACCACAACGGGGGGTCAATAGAGGGCATAAAATAACTTGGGTTAGGGATATATTTCCTCTTCAGTGAGGCGTTAAATAGTTTTAATGACGCGGCACCTACAGAGAAATTAATTGTACAAGCCCTTCGTCCTTCCGTTATTGTCACGCGATATTCGTTTGCGCATTTTGCCTTTTCCTTTCCACAGGCGTAACCTGGCCTCTGTTAGGCAAACTGTGGCCAAGATATGGCATTTGGATACACGAGACATAACTTTAAGCGCACGCAGCCGAAAAACAGGAAATATCATGAATAAATGAAGCGTTTTGTGGATATGTCATTGATTTATAACTGTATTCTTAGTTGGGAATATTTACATAGCTTTATGACGGCACCGCTTTCTTTAAGCTCGACAAGACCATTGAAACTTTATATTATATTTATAGTGGTAAATATATAATTAGGCATCTGTATACTTGGTCAACAAATGTAGCAGCTGTTAAGTATACTCTTTATAAGACTACGAATAATAAGCGGAAGTGTAAAGTTTGTCTAGCAGCTTTTCCACGAGAGTGGCTCAAATAACGATATAATGTATTAATGAGTAAGCTACTTTCCTTGGCTTTAATGTTAAACAGTGATAATTTTAGTCGACACTGAATCATAATAATTAAACAAAATGATATATAAATTGCATCCTTAAAAAATCACGTATACCATACTTTATACTAAGTAGTTAAAATTTACTGAAGCCGCGCAAATAGCTAATACTTGTCATTTGGGAAATGAACTTGCCCCTGCTGGTCTAAAATATGGTGTAAATATACATGGTCTTTTGGTTTAAAATATATATCACTGTAAAAAAAATTGGTTGAAACAACCAAACTGTGGATTGGGTATCTCAAATTCATTTTGAATCTGAGATAACCGATGTGTTGGTTTGGTTGTTTTTTAAAACCAATCTGTTCTTGCATGCAGTGCATATGAGGTTTAATCACCCCACCCCATCAGTGGTTACTGCATGGTTGACCTGTTTGCTAACTGGAAAAACAGGAATGGCAGTCGGCTACGATATTGGTTGTACTATATACGCCGTTTACCCTCCGAGTTGATATAAGCCGGAAGTTCGAGTCTATAATCCAATTAACTCGAAATTTTTCAACTTTGCAGTTTGAGGCAAAGTTTTCTTTATAAACAAGACTAACAACCAAAAGAGGAAATGTCAAGTTTATTTTAAAAAAGTTGCGAGTGGGGGCTAACACAGCTATAGTAAGGAGGACTAAGCTAGTTTAGGAAGATTTACACTGTTAAAGTGTCTGTAGCCATGAGCTTACGTTATAGAATTTTGCCACAAGGCGAATTTAAAGTAAACTTGAGCCTGCATGGATACATGAGGTTTGCGGTTTAACTCACAATCATGTGCATGGTAAAGTTGATAATGTTGAGTCTATTTCGTTCAAATTATAACAGAAATAATACCAAACTTAATGAAATAAATTAATTTCCTCACTGAAAGGATTAAAATTGTTGGAGAAATAGTTAAATGAGACT